AGCGGGAAGAAGAGCAGAATCGGGTCTGAGGAGGAAGAAAGGAAAGAAAGAAAAAGAAAAAGAAGGAAGCTGATCCTTATCCTAAAATCTTCCCCTCTTTAAGTCCCTCAAGTTTGGACATTTTGATCATTAAGCCCCAAAACACTATTTTCTCACACAAAGGTCCTTGACTTAATGCTAAAATATCACAAAATTTTGGGGTATTACACATATTCTCCACTTTCAATTGTCCAAAAACCTTGGTTCCTCAACCTCTTCGATGCAGGCAGGGATGAGCATTGGGTCCCTATATATGCATTAGGGTAAATACCTTACTTCAACTGCAAAAAAATTAGGTAAGTAATAAGTACAAAAGTAACATATTCATAAATATCAAGTTAAGTAATAAGTATAAGGATTTAGAATTGTTTACTTGACTTATTTAACCATTTTATTTAATTGGCATGTTATCTATATAGTTACTTGTATAATTAAAATTTTATATATACTTATTATACTTAATATCTATATAATAACAATAATTTTTAAAAATAAAAATAATAAAATGTAAAAATAAAAATAAAGGAAATTACACATGCAGCTTATAAATAACAAACCTTAAACCAAACACATATCGTCCATGTAACCAACAGCTTTTTCCCTTCCTTGCATTCTTAGGCAATAGTTAGTACATTTTGCAACATTAAAGTTTGATTCTTTTTAGCTTATTTTTTACTTTTCTAATAGTGATTTTCAAAATTATAATCTTTATTTATTGTATAAATAAATTTTTAACTTTAAATTTCAAAGTTAACATGATAAGAGAAGTCAACCAAGAACATGGATATCATGATCTTAAAATAGATATAATACTGTCAGCCACTATCCCTTTCTAACAAATTGAAATAAAGGATTAGGGGGATTATAAGCCCAAAAATCTAGACAGAGGATTAGAAAGATTATAAGTCTAAAATTCTATTTAAGGGTGTGCTAGTGATGTAGGTTGATGAGTCAGCAATGGTGATGATGTGGAGACTGACTAGAATGCCACCCGTGAATGATAAGGGTCCTTTAGGTGGCACCCGTTTCACGTGCGAGAAGCTACGTGCCACAAGCCATCTCATTCCACCCAGTGATGTTGGTTAGCAGCAAATTCCTTAGCAAAGTCTGAAGGTGTAAGTTTTCTAGTGAAGCCAAGAAGGAGAGCTAGCAACGACGACAGAGTTTCAAGATGTCCAGCGATGTTGGTCAGCAGCAAATTCTCCAACAAAGTCTGAAGGTGTAAATTTTCTAGCCAAGCCGAGAAGGAGAGCCAGCAATGACGATAAAGTTCCAAGATGTCCAACAATGTTGGTCAGTAGCAAATCCCCTAGCAAAGTCCAGAAGTAGAGTTTCTCCAACGAAGTTTGAAAATAGAGTTTCTCCAGCGAAGACCGGGAGTATAGTTTCTCCAACAAAGTCTGAAAATAGAGTTTTTCCAGAAAAGACCAAAAGTAGAGTTTCTCCAGTGAAGTTCGAAAATAGAGTGTCTCTGGTCAAGCCAAAATAAGTGGGGTGATGATGGTGCTCCCAGGATAACAAGAAAGATTACACAACTATCAAAAATAATGAAATGAAATGTACATTGTTGTAGGAGCAGCAAGGATAGAAAATATGTAAGGGTCAAAAATTACAACTTGAGAAGCACATTTTTACATAGTATATTGTAGCACAATAGTAAAGACAATGAATGTGCCCTCTATTATTCTTGACAAATACTCCTACTCTGTAATGAGCAACCTTATGTTGTAGATAAAAGGCACAATGGCCTCCTTCAAGCTTTATCAAGACAAAAGGAACAAACTTGAAAGTAGTGATTAGAGAAGAAAGGATGACCGTCTTGGGGTCTTGTGAATGGAGGGCTTGATCTCGTTTTTTATGCTAACTCTTTAGCTTGAGCCTTTTATGTTCATGAAGATAACCCAAAAAATGAATTTGCAGTATGTTGTCTCTCAGCCATGGTGTTTTGCAAGTTTGGAAATTGTTCAACAGTCCTGGAAGTGCAAAATACGAAGAAAATGGTGATTTCTGGGTAATTTCAGTGTGTAAAGTGAGTGGCTAAGGATTAAGTATTTTTCAGAGAAAGAAAAAGTTTGGTACATGAGAGGGAAGTTAAAGTTGTGAAAAATCTGGTATATTCTTGTTGAAAAATGAAGGGAAAAATAATATATATGTATAGTGGCATTTTTGTAATTTTTGGGTTGATGGGTCAAAGGTGCACAGTGGCCTAATGAGTAGATTTGGGTGAGTTGTCGAGTTTTGAGTGATTCTGGGCATGGCTAACAGCTTTTTGGCAATGATATTATGAATTATCCAGTGGTTCTGACAAAGCTTCGCTGGTTCTAACAATGATTGGAAATTGCCTATTTTTGAGCATTCCTCTGGCCATACAAAATTCCATTTTTGGGGAGGTGCTTGAGTGTAGCCGGCAAAATCAAGTTTGTCCAAGATTTTGGAAGATTCCTAAGGGTTGCCCAAGATATTGGTATATTTTTAAGGTCTAATCAAGATTTTGGTAGATTTTTCCAGCGAAATCAGATATTTTTCAACAGTTCCCATGGCCAGGGAACTTGTGCAGCCACCATTTTCAGCAGTTTTCAACAATGTGCAGCCATCTTTGCATTGAATATGGCTGCAAATTGTTGATGGTGACCAAAACAACATCTTTGGTTGGTTTTGAATGAGATTCCAAGCTTCTAGTTAGCACCAAACAGTATAGTTTTGGGGATCAAGTCTACCTCCACGTCTTTGCCACCTAACCCTTTATAGCGAAGTCGGGCAACATCACTAGCACCAAGCTTCGCTTGTGCAAATACCTCACTTTGCCAGACAAGCAATGCTCACCCATCCATGCTTGCCAAGTCACTACTCCCATAGTTTATCCTGAATATCCCCATGAGCTTGGATTCATGGGTTTATTAATGACCTCCATAAAGGAATAGTGATCAGTTGATAAAAATGATGAAATTTAATAGATAAGGAAATAATAAAGGAAAAAGACTTCATTATGTATTTCTGGCGATGCAATTATGTATTGCAACATTAGATATCGTTGGGACTTCTTTTGCATTTCTGGTGATGCAGCTATGTACTGCAGCATTAGACACCACTGGGACTTCTTTTGTATTTCTGGCGATGCAGCCATATACTGTAGCATCAGATATTGCTGGGCCTAGCCATGTGTTACACGTTGAAGGCATTAATGGGTGCTTAGATCAAGGCGAGTCTTGGTGACATGGAAACTACCCAAGTCCAAGTTTGACCTGTTACAAAAGCATCCATCAACATTAGCCTCCCAAGCGTGGAGAGTTGTGACAACAAGTCTTCGCGCTTGTAGTTGGAGTTGTATATGCCCAAACTTTGCCAAATGTTGGATGAGTTCAATGTTGTCTAGCAATATCTTTATTATGCAACAAGTTGAAGAAATGTGGTCACGTTTTACCAAACTTTGAAGGTTGACTTCGCCAGAGAATAAACCCATCCTTATGTTGCATGTATGATGATGATAACAACAATAATAAGAGTGATTGCTTGTAAACCTCTCCTTTAGTAGCTTGGTTAAGCTTGTAAAGAATTTTCTTCCACTGGAGAATGAAAGTATCGAGCACTATTCATAGTCATGTCATTTGTGTCATCATAGCTGAAAAATATTGTTGACCCAACTGCGGAGAAGATAACATTTTGATGAAAATTAAGTAGGGAGTTGAAGTTGCAATGCTGGGGATGAACATTTATCAACTTCGTTGGAAAGTAATACCGGCAATATAATGTTCTAGCCATGTGAATTTCTTTTTTTTAATCTCCCATGTATGTGCTTGTCAAGTAAATATTTGCAATTCTTCATCTTCTTTTGCGACTTGACATTAAGAAACTGTTTGGCGAAGATAAATGACTTAAATAGTGATGGAGACATAGCCATAAGTTGCAAGCTGTTGAATTCGTAGTAGACTGCTCCAGCCAAGTGAAATATGTGAAGCAGAGCAATAACCCTCCATCCAAGGAATGTGAGAACCAGTAATGATGGATAACTCATTCAAGAGATAAAGTAAAGATGAAGACTCTCTAGAACCTTGTTATAATTGTAGGTTGGGGCCAACAAGCTTTGCTGAGCCCTCATTTTGCCAGAGATGATAGGATGATGATGAAGATGAAATGAGTACACATATGTTGATGTATTTGTAATGGACCCAACATGTTGAAGAAGACTTCCTATCCAAGATGGAGTATTCTAACGAAGATGGATCTTCTGATCAAGATAGAGTATTCCAACAAAGATGGATCTTTTGTCCAAGTGATGTAGTGAATAAGTCATAGTGGATGAAATCTATCCATATGAGCCTTTTGGGCCTTGATAATGTTTCTTCTCCATGATAGACTATTGAAGATGTACCAATACGTAATTGTGTGTTCATGATTGCTAGCCGTGTTGAATATCATTGGGTTGGTCAGAAAGCTTCGCTGACCTCCCTTATGCATCAAAGGAGAAGATGTAAGTATACATTGTTGTGCCTTTTTGTCCATTTGTCATGGGAAGCACTTGTATAGCATTGCTATGTATGTCTGGTGTTGCGCCAAAATAAAGAATGAGTAATGTGAATGTGTGTTGCGATATCATTGTCTTGAGCCAAGGATTATTAGTCGGCGATACCTATTAACACAGAATATAGAGGAGATATGTTATGGATCCAGATTACCGGCGACCAGTAATTTTGTTCCTTTGTATAGAAGAATAATGAAGTGCATGACCGCTAGCCATGTTGTGTAAGTATTGTAAGGTCAGCCATGAATAGCCTTCCCATAGCCAAAGGGACAATAGTGGCTAGCTTTGTCCATGGCTAGAGCGTGAACAATGTGGAATCGAAAGAGCACTCCCACTAATCCGCCAAGTTGTGAAGGGGTAAATCTCATTAAACCAGACTTCGCCATAATGATGAATATGTATAGAGAGATGTGGAGTTGTCTCCATGGAAGGGGGACGCCAACTACATCCATGGCATACAACAAGGTGTGATACCATTGACAAACGTTGGCACTTCTTGCTATACCCGCACCATCAGAGGGTGGTCCTGGTTGTTGTTGCCCGCCAGGCACAGCACCACCATGCACGGGCGACCACCAAGGGACCGTCGGTCGCTACTTGATGGGGTTTTATCGCTATAGGGTAGCCATCCCATCCAATCGCAGGGTTGCAACTGTTATCGGTCTCACGTTAATTGTATTGAGTTACGCTGACTCTTTTTCCGTTGCCAGGAGCCAGTGAGATAGAATATGTAGAATTCCAACCCTTTGTCCGTTGTCGGGAGCCGATGAAATGAAGATATGGAGAAATGTGTAGCCTTTTGTCCATTGTTGGAGGCTAAATGAGATAGCAAATCTGGCCCTTTGTCCATCATTAGGAGCTGTGTAGATATAATAAGATCAGCTCATTGTCCATTGATGGAACTGGGAACCAATGATAGAGATATGAAGAAATAGATGCCTAGCCTATTGTCCATCGTTGGGAGCTATACAAATTAGCTCGTTGTCCTTTGATGGGAGCCACGTAGCAAAATAGGCTCTTTATCCATTGTTGGAAGCCAAAATATGTAGCAGTGAATATCACTGTAGAGGACATGGCTGCCAAAAAATGCCCAGCCATTTATCTATAGCAAGATAGGCTTTTTATCCATTGTTGGGAGCCAAAGAGATGTAGCAGTAAACATGACCGTGAAAAACATCTAGCCATGTTGTGGAGATAAATGTAGCCAGAAAGATGCAGCAATAAATATTGTTGTAGAGAACATGACCGTCAAAAATGCCTAGTCATGTTGTGCAGATAATGGAGCCATGTCTGGCCATGTGTAAGAAAATGCTGCTGAAGTAGAACATGTCTGCATCATTCCCAACGAAGTGAGTAAATGCCACTGTTGGTGATATATAAAAGAATAATTTTGAGTACT